TTTGTTACTTAACAAAATAAAAAGGAATGGCTCTGTCGACATTAAGATAATGTTAAAAAGTCTTTATAATATGGAAGAATTATAACAAACACTGGTGAAATTAATTTACCACCTAATGCTGTATTTGGACTCTAATTTGAGAAGTAGTGCCAGAAAACTGCAAAGTACCAGTTTTCCTCATGAAAAGCCACACAGAAATTGTTGAACGATAGAGTAGCCAATTTTTAACAAGGTGATAGCTCCAGGACAGTTTAATGGAGAAATAGAGCCCAGTCATTCAAATGGAGGTTTATATTTTTTCTCAACAATGTTAAGGCTTCAGAGAAGAATTAATCAGTATCTTACCTGATTTCTAATGTTGGTCGTATCTGTGAACATCAAGGGCCCAATTCTCATTTACACTTAAGCTATTTTACACCATTCTGGAAGTGCAAAAGGGCCTTAAAGTGGATGCAAATTTAATTTATACCCACTACTAGGCCCTTTGCATTGCCAGAGTGATGTAAAATGGCCTTAGTGTAAATGAGAATTGGGTCCCAAGAGACCTAACTTTATAGGAATGAGAGATTATAGAGAAACCACGTTTTCTAAGGGCACTAAATATAAAAAAAATGTACTCCACCGATATTATTAGTTAGCTATTGCTGTGCCACTACTGCAAGAATTTGAGAATATCTATCCACTGATTTCCTAAAAAGGCCTCATTATCTCTGCATTATGAAAAGATAGTGACTAATCTACAGGAAGCCTGGGTTGACTTCCAATATTCTCCAAGGTGCAACAGAGTAGTCACACTAGCTTCTCTTTAGTATCTCACTTTCCAACAGGAACTTGCTCATACAATTCAAGCTGGGAGCTAGAGCAATTCTGGGCTGATATTGCCACACAGTGCTTCACAGACAGCAGATTTACATGTAGTGGTATCAATAGTTGTCCTGGTGACTTTCAAACTAGCTCTGGAATCCTGGGATGTATCAGGGCAAAAATGATAACTCTGATTTGACCTGTCTTGATTGTTTTTACTAACTTGATTTCCCGGATTGAAAGGACAGTGTGTTCTCATGGAGTGCCACATCTTTTAGTTTTAAATATTCTCCAAATAATCTCTGAAAGGACAAGATTGCAGTCCCTAATCCTCCCTTCTTGTCCCCTCATCACACAAATCCAACCCTGTTGCAGAGCAAGAGGAGGTCCCCATTACAATAAAATAATCCTATTTCATTAAATCCTGTGCCTCATTATACAGAACATTTGCTCAGATACACTTTTAGTCTGTGCAGTGCATCTGTGAAAGTAGGGAGCTCTATGATCCTTCTAATATAGCTCTTAAAATTAATATACAATAGAATAGACTCAGAGGCCCAACTAATATGCTGTAGGTTATGTGGTTTCCCATCCAGTAAATTTCTCTAGCATAGCTTTACAGGCCAATATACCACCTTGCCTCTCCACCCCTTCTAAAGGATCAAAAAACTCCTGCAATAGCTAAAACAATCCTAAGGGAAAATGGCCATGCTGGCAATTTGTGAAGCTTTGCCAGGTTTTTAGTCATGGAAAATTAGTTTGCTCTTTGTGACTTAACTTTCCATGAGAACAGGGCAATGCCCTTCTTGTTCTATTTGTTGGTCTGTGTTTGGACATACCGAGCTCTGGTAACAAGCAGATCAGACTGTTAGACTCTCCTGGACATTTCTAATGCCAACCTCATTCAGAGATTTGAGGATGCTTCTCGCCATGAAGGATAAATCTTTTCCGATTTTGTATTTGTGACACTTAGGGACTGAATTCTTGGCATGGTAGCTTCAAGGTCTAATTCCATATTTGCATACTCTACAGCCTTCACTGGAGTTACACCCACTTACACTAGGACTGAATTTGGGAATCTATCTTCCTGTTACATCTTTCACAACAATAATACCTTGAATATCACTATCACATAATGCTGTTTTTGGTCTATCCTGCATCCCAGAGAAAACATATTAATTGCTAACATTTCCTAAAAAGTCTAATTGATTTAGGAGCCTAGGTACCATTTTCAAGTCACTTGGGAACCCTAATCCCACTAACTTTCAATGAGACTTTAGACTTCTAAGTGCCTAAGTAATATTTGACAATGAGTCTAAGGAGTTTTTGAAAATTTTGCCCTACAAACCTAACTTCACAGAGACATGGTTGTATTAATCTCTTTTACCTTAGGACAGAAAATAGACTGGCAATCCAAAGAGGTATGTACAAGCCAGTGGGAATCAAGCTATTAATATCATGCTAGGTAACTGACTATTTTTACCTAAGTAGGAATACCCATCAGTACAAACTAGTACACCTTTATCCCGATATTATGCGACCCGATATAACATGAATTTGGATATAACACGGTAAAGCAGCGCTCCGGCAATAGCTCAATTTCCCCTTTCTTTCCAGGCTATCTAGTCACTGGACAATTTGGATCCAGTTTCACAGAATACACCAAGCTGAAAAAGATACTAGCTTTCTGTCCTTGGACAGCATGTTTATAAAGGTCAAAATTTTTGGATCTGAGGAATAGATGAAATATCCCCCTGCACAGCAATGAGCATATTAACCATTCAGATAGTAAGGTAGCAATGCTTGTTTCTGTGGCCTGCACTGGAGTGCATGCTGATAACTTCACGGAAGGAACAAGAAACTGTTTTACCACCTTGTTCATTCAGCACACATTTGAAGAAAAAAATGTCATGATGGAAAACCGTTCCTTGAGAATCTTCATGTTTAATTGTTACCACAGTATATGATGCTTCTCTAGGATCACTGTATTAGCTACTCTGTGCTACTGCCCACAATGATGAAAGAATGAAGAGGAAGAAATATTTCAACTATAGCAAAGGAGAGAGAATGCTTTTGTGTCTCTGAAACATGGCTGAACATCTAATTTCACTGAATACCAGGCCAATATACTACTGGTAAATGGACATCTCTTAGCTGCTAATTTTGTGCTATTTTACCTTTCATTAAAAAAAAGTAATTCCAGCTAAACTTAGTTGAACAGCATAAAACTCTTGATATTTTAAAGCTCTTTGAAACAATTACTTTGATGGGAACCCTTGACAGTTAAATGACTTCATTAAATGAATGTTATAGAAGATACATAATGATTTTTAGTGAAATATTGAATTTAACCACAAATGAGGAAAACCAGTCATAAGCACCGTGGGTGCATTTGAATAATAATGTCTTGCTTATAAAGCACAATGGATTTTGTATTTTCTGATAATCAGGCTATTAGCTATTTAGACCAAGTTGAGATTTCTCGACATTCTTGTTTGGTTTTCACTTTTATTACTGTTTTTTAATCTAGAAAGCAAATAAGGAGGTTTGAACAATTTGTGTGGTATGGTACTTGTACAGCATTTTATTGCAAAGCAATCACATGATGCAAATTAGAATTCATTCCTCATCTTATATATCCCTACTTGTTTTCTCAACGGGATTTTTAAGAAGGAAAAAATTCACCCAAAAGACAAACCTGATGCTTACACGGGGCCTGATTTTGTAATCTTTAGTGACAGAAAACTCCTTCAGAAGTTAATGGGCGGTTTTCATGAGTAAAGTGACTCAAACAATGTGTATTATTTATTCTACAACATTCTCCACATAGCTATGATTCCCTTTTTTATTCACTTGCAAGATGTGAAATGGCATCAGGCTTTACATGTTTTCTCATGACTATCTCAGGGAATCAGTACTGAAATGATAAAACTGTTAGTTCTTTTTTTTTATTGCACTACAGCAAGAGAGAGAGAACAAGGCAGTATTCTTGTGATGCTAAAATCCCTCTTATTATAAAACTTTATTTGATGGGGAGGAAAGGAAGCTGAAAACAATTCACTACGAGTACACTTCCCTGTAGGTTTAAAAAGGAAAATGCTGAAGAAATGAGGCTGAAAAATAGGAATGCTATGTATTCAGTTTCTCTGGTGAAATGAGGTGGAATGACTATTTCACAGTAGAAAGGCCATCTACAGACATGAAGGCAATATTTATTGAGAACTACAGCCCTGTTTAAAGCTTTTAATTCCCTTGTCTGACACTGAAAGCATGGGAAAATATTGCAGTTGTAATACTGGAAGCTTGTTAGGAAACGGGAGACTTCAGGTACATAACCAATTGATGAAATGAGATCTTTGTTGGAGTATTAGCCAAACAAGCTAGCTGAAGGAGTGTCAGCTCTCCAGACTGGTTTATGAGATCATGAAATCCCAGTTAGCTCAACTTTCCAGTTTTAGCCTCCTGATATTTTTATTCCTTTATCCCCAGCAGTTATCCTGCCTCTCCTCTAGGTTTCCCCCCTTCCTCATCTCTCTCATGCCTAAAGCAGTATTGGTGCAGTCTCCTTGGAACACAGATTGCAGCACACAGCATTCGCCATCACTTTTTACTGATGCAGGTGTTTATTCATGCTAATTTTCTTGGAACCTGCTTCCACTGCATTCAATATCCCCCACAATTAAAGAAACAGCTGCTCTGAATAAAATTCTCTTTGGCTTGGTGCAAGAAGTATTCACCCTGAGACATTATTACTTTACAATGTTGGCATGTGCAGCTATAGCATATTCAGGGTATACAGCATTTCCCCTCTGATGATGACGATGATGATGGCAGGGGTATTTCAATCACACAAATAAGAACAGTTAGGGACTTATGCATACAAAGTTAATTATTTTCCCCTGACAATTTTTAGAATGTTTGAAAAACTATACTAGTATCTCTAGATTTAAATGTCAGCAAAGATTCATTGGAGCAGGCTGACATGCTATTTCATGTGGGGAAAAGAAACTGCTTTTAATCTCATTTTTACTCTAGATTCCCAGCTAATGAATCTATGGATCCTGAAGTCTGCATTTACTAAGAGACATCTGCCGCACCTATAGGCTGTCCTTTGCAGCTCCTTAAAACATAGGTGAAAAAGTTAGCCTGGTTTCTTACATCTGTTGTGCAACAATGACAAATCTCCATATACTCACAGATGTAGAAATATTCCCGGCCTGGCCTGAACTCAAATCCTAGTGAGAAGGGAGTGAAGAGCTGGAATTTTTCTGAGAACTTCAATGGTCCATTCGGGGAATGAGGCCGATTGCATTCCCACCTCTTGAATCCTTTGGAGGTGTGATCGCAGGAGCTATAGCCATCGAAGTTCACCATGTAAAGAATGTAGCGTTCAGTCTTATCTTCTGGCACTGAATCTTCATAGTGAGGGCAGAACACATCCAAATAATCATTGATGCAGACATCAATGTGGTAGTCACCCCTTTGGAATCTAAAATTAAATGAAACATGAAGACAAAAGACAGAGTTAACTCAGGATACTTAGTTACAGATTTCTCTTTCTAGGATGATAATGTCATTACTTCCACTTCATTTCAGTTCAGCCACATCATTCACTTTTCAAAATAATCCTGGCCAAATTCACTCCTGGTGTAAATGGATGCTACTCTGTTGACATCAGCAAAGTAGCACCTGTTTATGCAGTACCATGATCATTTACACTTTTATTCCTTCAGCATGTAGAATTATCTTCTTGCTAATGTACACTAAGTTAAAGTATATTTTCACCTGTGGTCTTCTGAAGGTTTTTTTTTTTTATTTAAAATTAAGCAAAAAGAGGAAAAGAAAGAGAAAATGCACTAGGTTCACCAAATCAGTCTCACTATACATATCAACACAGACACAGACGCACACAAAATCACCAATCCTCACCAAATCCAGCAGTAATCACTTCTGTGCTACAAGATGATTTGGCTAAAAGTACTTAAATTGACTACAGCAGCACAACTACGTTTACTTTTTCTTCATTACTGGCAACACTTTGTCAAGATGGAAGAAAAGCCTGGATTGCTTTTTAAAGGTATTTGAAAAGCAGTGTAACTCCTCTGCCAAAGTACACAGAGGAGATATTGCTATGTTCAGATAAAAGGATTCTGGGATATGAATTATCAGCACTCAGCCTAACCTGACAGTTCTGAATGAGAGCCAGATGAGAAATGTAGTGCAAGGCAGTGGCACAGATGCACTCCTTTATATGATTATTACTAAAGATTCTTTAGACATTCAAAGGAGGAGGTTTAGCACGTGTCACTTACTTTGCCTTTCTAATGCCTGGCATGATTTGTGGAAGAAACTATGAGAAGAAATTCAACACCTCCACGTGAGCCCACCCTAATACATTTAAAGATTCCACAAACCAACATCTGTAAGTCTGTCAATGGATGTGAACTTCCCCTAGGGCAACTAGTACAACCAAACACTGACCCATTCCACTTCAGGCTGACCGCTCATCACTACTTGTGGCGTCTTTCTTTGACTGCTACAGTTGTCAAGTGCACCACAGAATGATAAAGGGATAATGAAAGGTTTAACTATAATGCTTCTTTTCAGCTGAAGGGCATATTTTAAATACCTGACGAGCTTGAAATCTGCCACCTGGGTCCTTCTACCTAATTTCAGAGAGAAGCAATGATCTGCTGGTCCTCCAAGGAAATATTCAGAGCAAACTATACTTTTTCATATCCCTACAATAATTTTGCTTCAATACCATAGATTTTTAAAGGAAAAAGCTTGAAATGGCTGTATAATTCTAGTTAAAACACAGCCTCATGGTTTCCTCCTGTAATACGGAAAAGTCTTTTTGAACTACAGTCAATTCAAACAAAATCTCATTTATCTAAATCATTAGTTGTATCCTAGAGGTTACGAACAGCGATATCTTGTGAGTTATGTATACAGAAGCCCAATTTTCCCAACAATCTCCTTATTTATTTTTTTCTACAATTCTATTTTTTAATGAAAAAAGAAGAGTAAGAATGTGCCCTACCTGGCTTTAACCATTGTGCATGTGTAACGCTAATGTCAGCGGGTGGGATTGAACCAGGGACTTCTGGAACTTAGTGCTTGAGCCGCTACAGCATGCGCTGAAAGCCAACTGGCTATGAGCTAAGCCTGTAGAGCAGACTCATTTAACTCTCTCTCTAAGTGGTCTCGGTGCCACTACATTGGACAGAACACCATACCCAGAAGGTATGTGGGTTACATACTTCCCCTAGCTGAGGAAGCACATCCCGTGCTTCAGTGTCTTCCCAGTTGAAATCCCAGACGAGCCCCACCCCGTAACACCGGCAGACCCTGGTCGTCAGTGGGCGGGATCGAACTGTGGACCTCTGGATCTTAGTGCATGAGCCTCTACCACATGAGCTAAAAGCTGTTAGCTAAGGCTGTAGAGCAGACTCATTTTATCTCTCTCTAAGTGGTCTCAGTGCCACTAGATGGGACAGAACACCATACCCAGGTGGTGTGTGGGTTACACATGTAGACACTGCAAACATGCAGTCACTGCAAGCTTTCCTGCACTGTTATTCACCAGGTTCCTTGGGACAATTATGGTTTAAGGATGGGAGCTTAAGAACCAAGGCTATGGTAAATGGGTATGATATAAATAAGAGATAGATTAATAAAAAAATCTGTGATCTAAACTTCATCTCTACTAGGAATGAAAGAGCTGCTCCACCTAATATTTTAAATGTTGAAATTGTCTAATCCCTTTCTACTGGTGTCCTTCCATTTTATTCCTTTAAACAAAAAACCCCCATGACCTAACTTTTCCCCTCGACCATTACTTTTTAACAGAGATGACATCAGTGCTTAATTTGTAATGAAAGAGGTGCTGGGGCTCAAGCTGGGTGGCCGAAAAGCGGTGTCCAGCTCAGAAGGTAGCGCAGCCACCAGCAGCAGTGCAGAAGGGTGGCATGGTATGGTGTATTGCCACCCTTACTTTTGTGCTGCCTTCAGAGCTGGGTGGCTGGAGAGCAGCGGTTGCTGGCCGGGAGCCCAGAGGTGCCAGGACCATGAACTGCCAAGCCTGAAGGAGTCCAGGCTCAGCCCCGGCACAAATTAAGCACTGGCTGAACTTCCTTCTGTCTCTACAAGTCATGGACCATATGGTCTTCTTCAAGCTCTTCAGTTTATTCCCATGTCACTAATATGGACAGCTGGAAATGGAAAACCTTGAAGGAAACACTAACTGCAAAGCAGATTTGCAGCTGAAGTGCACAGCTAAGTCATTTTTTTCTCTTGGTATTTTTTTCATAACTTTTCCCTACAGTGTCTGTACTTTCATTCCATAATCGTTTGCTATCGCCAAAAAGCATTCACATTTAAATGTCTGAAAAAGGAAGAAGATGGCACATATTTAAAGTGGTGTAAATTGGTCTTTAGCTGATATTGCTGGCACAGCAGTGAACCTGCTTCAGGGAAAACATATACCAGATATTTTATCAAGCAACTGAGTGAAGTCTCTTCCCTCCATAAATATAGTAACAGCAATACTGAAAGGAGACAGAATGGATATTAGAGAGGAAGGAAGCAGACAGGACATTTATTCCCTCTCCTGTAATGTTCTGTGGGATTCAGTAACCAAGGTAATGTGAGTCCAAGCTAAGTGGAACAGAGGCTCACTGGATTTTCAAAACTTATTTTATTTTACCAATTAGGTTAATTTCCAACGAGGCTATCAGAGTATATTAAGACCACATTCTTCCTTCAATTGCCATATTATGCTCAGAAAGGGAAAACAAAGAGAGAAAGGACACTTCTTGTATTAAAAAGTTAAATATGCTGATTAGTAACTGGCTAATCTATCATCTCAAAAGCCTCAAAACTAGAAGATAAAACAGCCTATCAAGAACCCTAAACTGAATCCAAAGGGAATATATTTGACATTTACCAGCTGCAAACCTAATATTATTAGTGTGAAACCAAATATTAGAGTGAGACAAAGCTTTGGCTTTAAATAAAAGCATATATCAGCTCCTGTTAGCCAACTGCATGTAGAACGCGGCAACACAGAGAGGGGAGGTGGAATTAGTTTACAAATATGTTTTGAGAAATGATGAGAAAACAGCAGTCTGTGTTTATGTCATAACAAGCATCTTCCTCTTCCCCCACTTCTGTTGTTCCTTTCAGCTCAGAATGTAAACCTTATGCTCTCCCCTACTGTCTCTCCCAAAGCCAGAGATGTTCCTTTACTTTTCTTCACGTCAGCCCTGATCCTGCATTGGGATCCACTCACGTGGACCCCCATACCCAATTAGAGCCATAGGGGACGGGTGCATGTTCACAGACCCAAGCCAGGATCAGGAGCTAGATTAAGGAGAAAGCAGCCATGGCTACTTTGTCTCAAAATTGAATATGGGAGTGGGGGTAGGGGCGGCAGGAGACAACCCTGCAGCCAGGAGGGTTCTGCAAATATTCCTTTTGTCAATAATGTCAATTTTCTTTTTATGCTTTCTCTTACACACAGCAAAACATGTCCATCCTTCAAACAATTAACCTTTATTTTCTATCACGTGACATTCATTCAGTGCCATGGAAACTTACATACTACTGAGCTAGCTAATAGGCTGTAAGGTGGTAAGAGGCATTAGAAACACAAAAACAGATAGCTAAGTACCTTCTAACCCAAAATTTTTCCATAGCCTACACATACGTGTTCATTACACAAAACTTACACTGATACCACTATAGAATAGTTGGGAGAAACAACAGACATAAGGATATTTAATTTCTCAGATGCCTCCTGTTTTTGTTTTTTTAATCCTTGGCACCAGAAATTCAGGACATGGTGAAAAAGCTGCATGACAATTTAAATGACAGAAACATGATGCTGACAAAAATGTTTTGAACCTAATTCTGGTGCTCTGCTTATCCATTAAGGCAAATTCAAGCACACAGTCTGTGCACATGCATTTTTTCACAATTATAAATTCTGAAGCATATGCAAGTCTCATTTTGAATTTAATAACTTTGTTGGCTACTGAAATAAGAAATTATTTAACTAGATATTTAGACTGAAATAGTATTTTGCATGCTGCTCTATGTCACTTTCTTTCCTTCTTTAAATAAACAATATAAAAACCTGGTTTAAAAAATAGCACAACTGACATTAATTGCCTATTATCATATAGATGGATAAAAAACTGCATTAGCTTCTGCTTGTTGCTTCTCCCATACAAATCATATTAGTTATATCCTTTCTTAAGTACATATTTTACTAGCAGCTCCTCTATTTCAAACTGAGTGCCCAGGAAACACTTCCTTCTGTACCGTCATCCCTTCCCTCGCTCAGAGTTTGTTCTCTCAAATGGATGAAAGGTCTCTAATTTTAACAGGAATTTAGTTCAAGTAAGTGTTGTAACTATGAATGCTGAAATTCTAGTCTTGATTATAGCTCCAGGAGTAGTCAACTGCAGATGGTGGCCCTGATTC